AAAGATCCAAAATCTACAACAAATACTGTGAAAGTCAAATAAAAAAAAAAAAAAAAGAAATTATTTTTCCCAAATTCTAGTTTTGGGGGTAGATACTTTCAATTCCAAATAAAGAACTATAATTTCTTATTCTTTTTCTTAAAGCAAAATAGCTGACATTCAAAGTATTATTTTAAATTACAGGAATTCCATCATGAAAGCATCTCTTGTGAGACTACATGGGAAGGGAAAAAATGCATGAAGAAATATGACATAGGCATGAAGAGAATAGAGTGTCTTGCTATTTATGACTAGCAAAAGGGTCTAGGTCAGATCACACATTAGAAATGTAAAAACAACCCAAGGGGCCGGGGAGAAGACTTAGTGGAATAAGTGCTTCCCTGGCAAGCGCAAGATCCTGAGTTCAATTCCCAGTTCCACAAAAACAAACAAACAACAACAAAAACTCAAAAAATTATTTGGTGCTTTTGGCATTGCTTATTTGTTAGTTTGTTGTTCAAAAGTCAGAGAATAGTCACTTAAGTTGCTAGAGTCATTGAGTTCATTTGAATCATAAATTTTAAATGTATTCTATTCCCCCACAATGAAGAAAATTAAAATAATTTTTTCATGTTATATTCACTTTACAAGTTACAATTAAATACTAATAGAAATATATTGCTAGAAATTAATTTTCTATATATGAAATCTGGATATAGGTAAAAGAACTATGGATTGTTTGGGAAATTATAAAGTAGAAGTGATTATGAATAAGCAGAAAGAGGCTTGTATTCATTTCTTCAGTCTAATTCCCAAGTTTATTTATACAGTGTTATTGATTTTTGGTTTAAGGTGGGCTTAAGTTTAGGTGTTTGGCTTAGAAGAAAGAGATAAAGTAGTTAAACAAGAATATTTTCAAATATCTTATGTAGCTAAGCTTTCTTTTCTAGATAGGTAATACTGTCATTTTCTATTTGTGAGATACCTAATTCTTAAAGCAACTCTATAGGGTAAGTTCTGTTTTTATTTCCATTGTATAAAGGAAGAAATTAAAGTTCAGAAAGATCAGACAATTTTTCTGTCTATACTACTTGTTTAGTACTGACACTCAGACTCATATCTAGTGTGGACCTTGAATTCAAATACTAACATGTACTCAATAAGTACTTCATAATACGCATCTTTATTATTAGAAAGTCCTTGGAACTATAACAGGATAATAGTACCTTTTATACAATTAATCTCCTAAGATAAGGAAGTAGATCCATTGTAATGAGTCTTTCCTTGTAAATATTTTCCCAGTATTTCAGTTGTATTGAGCAGTGTTTCCTATTATTTTTATTTTGGCTTCAGAAATGTGTTGTAGCAACTTTAAGCCTAATAAAATCTGTTTAACTTTTGCTTCAGAACCATTTTTGCTTTCGTCATTGAATTGTCTTTATATTTCTGCTTGTTATTTTTATGGTCAAACGAACTGTGGGGTCTTAATATTTGAAATTAATGTTAAACTATTCACTTATTTTCTTTTTTTTTTTTATTCACTTATTTTCATTATATCAGTTGTTTTCTTTGATTGGATCTTTGGGATTAAAATACTTAGGCAATTATATTCCCTACATTGTCAATTTAAATACAGATAATGTTCATCATTTATCTATTTTAATAGGAAAAACCATACATAACTATGTAAGCATTTTGAAATGTTTTACTTACTCTGCCTCTGCAAACTGTAATAGTCATAGGAGAATTTAAAATTGGAGGAAACTCTTTAAGTTCCTCTGATCTGGTCTTTTCATGTGATAAGCATGAGATCTTAAGTGTGAATTTCATTTCTGGTCTATTCTTTTCCCCTCACACCATGTCTGTTTCATCTGGCAGCCTGTGCCATGGCTTGTAAAACCTAGGTCAAACTTCTATCATTAGGAAATTTGTCCTTATTGACAATATTATGTACTTTGCTTTTATATTTTCTATCTAGTTAGCACAAAAAATATGAGCAAAACAATGTCTTAGAAAAATTAATATATAAAGTGTGTTTAGGTATATGCAGAGAAAGTAGTTCTGAAAAACATTTGATTGTAAGTTGGATTTCTGTATTAGATTCTATGTACAAATATTTACTGTAGAGTATCTCCAAAAATGGTGGTACCATTTTCAAAAGATCTTCATGCCCATTTAAGAATGCTTACAGATTCTAAAATAAAATGGAAGGTCTTCAAAATTAAACATTCCTGTTATGTTGTTGAGACTCTGAGATTTTTTGTTTGTTGCCCTCATTCAGTTATGTAGTCTAATTTGAAAATCCAGATGGCAGACAAGAAAATCAAATTAGTTTGGTGGGGCCAGGTATTATTTACTCACTTTTAAGGGTTGGGCAGTATTAATAGTGCTATAATTTTGCTTGAGATGTATGAAAATTTTTATTTTTTGTGTGATTTTCTCAGTTGTACTGTATTATATTGTAGTTACAAAAAAGTTACACTCATTTTACTTAATGGATATAATTGACTTAATAAAAGGTTCTTTTCCTAATTGGATTTACCATTAAAAGATTAAGTGTATTTGTACATACATAAATCTGTTTGTGGATACAATTGTATATTCCGGTATGTGTATCAGTTTGGTACTTGAAAATATTTTTTATGTTGTGATTTGAATTTCTCATTACACACTTATTGAATAATATAAAATTAGTGTTGTAGTGTCAGTTTCCTTCTCAAAGTGCTACTGAGGACTACTGAGATCTCAATGAATTTGTAGAAGAAATGAGAGCTTTACAATGTGTAATATTTCCACATTATTCTAAGAACCTTCCTCCACTAAGTTCTTTCAGTGTTGTCTTCAGTAAAACGTTTTTTAAGTTGAAATGTAATTCATATACGTATTCATTTTGCTTCACAGTAAAAGTTTAACTTGAGGTACAATTCATGTATGCATTCATTTTGATTCACAGTGCACTTTTTGCACACATACATCCTCAATTTGATATGCTTTCATGAATAGAGGAATTTGATATTTGGTATCACCTTTTTTCTTTCTTTCTTTCTTTCTTTCTTTCTTTCTTTCTTTCTTTCTTTCTTTCTTTCTTTCTTTCTTTCTTTCTTTCTTTCTTTCTGGTACCAAGGATTGAATTCTGGACCTTGTATTTGTCAGGCAGGCACCTTTTTTCTTTCTTTCTTTCTTTCTTTCTTTCTTTCTTTCTTTCTGGTACCAAGGATTGAACTCTGGACCTTGTATTTGTCAGGCAGGCACTTATGCCACTAAGCTATCTCCCCATGCCCCCCCCCCCTTTGTACCAGGAACTAAACTCAGAAACTTGTGCCTGCCAGGCAGGTGCTGCACCACTGAGTGATATACCCAGTCCCTGGTGACAGCTTCTGACACCAATTGGACATAGCATTTGTATTTTTCTTTTTAGTATGTGTTACCCTTATTAGATAAGGAAAGAAAGGGCTGCCATTATAGCTCAGCAGACTAAGCGCTTGTTTTGGTAAGTGCAGGGGCGAGGGTTTGATCCCTGGCCCTGCATGCTGCACCAGCCCTGCCCCTGGATGCACTGAGCTGGCAATGGAGTCGGACGTGGTAGCGCACGCCTCTAATCTCAGCACTAGGGAGGCTGAAATTAGAAGGATCACTATGAGTCCAAGCTGCATAGTGAGACTCTCCACACACACACAAATATAAATGAATAAATAAATAAAATAAAAAACTCAGGATAAGGGAAAAAGTATTATTGCAGTATGGTTAATGGGAGGGCTATTAAGTTGTTGTAAAGGAAACAAATGTGAGGGCAAAAGTCTATGCACATAAAGTTCTTAGCTAGTTGGAACCCAGAGTAATTGTAAATAAGAGGTGTGTCTTTGCTGAATTTTTACTTAATATGTTACATTAAGTTTAAGTATACACTGTATTTTTTAAACATTCCTTTTTGATTAAATGTTTATAGCATTTTCTTTAAAGTAAAAATGTTGCAGTGTATCCTCATTTGCCTTATTCACTGGATCTCATACTGTACAGTTTCTGGATCTTCTTAGTTAAAATGACCATGAATGGTAAAAGTGTTGAATTGATTCTGGACATTGAGGCACCACAGCAGCCACAACAGCACAATTAAAGACATAAAAGAAGATTGCCACAGTTGTTTCAGAAAGTGGCAAGAATAATGGAATAAGTGTGCTCAAAGCAAGGGAATTATTTTGATGGGAATTAATGGTAGTGTGTCTTCTGTAAGTTTTGAAAATTAAAGCATTGACCTTTTTTTTTTTTTTACTGAATATGTTACATAAAGTGAGGAGGAAATATATTTTCCTCTAACCACTGTTAAAGAATAGTTTTGGAGCCAGGAGTGTAGCTCAAGCAGAGGCACAGCACCTGCCTAGCAAGCAAAACATAACAGCGTTTAGTTCCCAGTACTGAAAAGCAAAAAAAGGCTCTTATGCAAGGTGTGGTTGCACATGCCTATAATCCCAGCACCCAAGGGGCCAGGGCAGGAGGATTGATGCAAGTTTGATACCAGCCTGGTCTATAAAGTTGTGTTCAGGGCCATCCTGAACTGCTTACTGAGACCTTGCCTCAAAATAGTTGTGAAAGAGAACTTAAAAATCTATTGTCTTCTAATACTGCAAAACATTCAGTATTTTTTTTTTTTAACTTGAGTATTAATGTGTAAAAACTCGGAAAACAGTCCCAGGTCTAAACCACTTTTGATAAAAATTTGATGTTTTGCTTATGCCAAGTTATATGTTCCCTTTTTGATTTGTGTTTCTCCTTTTTTTTTCTAGAAAACTGACTGGACATTCTTTCCACATGGGCTATAGCATGGCAATTTTGAATGGTATTGTAGCTGCTCTTACTGTGGCATGGTGCCTCATGTAAACCCGCAATGGAGAAATATTGTTGGCAGAAGTCATGAATTTTTCGTAATAACGGAAAAGAACTTCATTGCCTACTCCGAAAGCTAAGAAGAAACCATTGGTTCAAATAATATTATGGAGGATCTTCAAAAGCATCATTGTAGAGTTCAACTATTAGGAATATCTAGTACTAAGCTTAATGGACATTTTTACAAGGATAAGATGTTGACCTCATTTTTTGTGTCTGTAGTTCTTATAATTTATAGAAAATGTAATGCAAGACAATGCCTTTCCATGTATATGCAAAACTTTTGCTAAGGAATCTTGATGTTGTTTGGGGTAGAAATAATCTTACTTAGACATTCTATTAGAAAGTGGTGCCTATTACTCTGACATTTTATAAAATCTACTTTTAAGTCAGAATGGTTTTGTACCCATATAATCAGTAGAAGGTGCATTTATATTTTATATGGAACAGTTCTTTATGTACAGTTTTTAACATATTTTCTTACAGATTGAATTTATATGTTTTTAAAATTATGACATCTAGATGACTGTAAATGCTTAAGTGGTGCAAACCTAATACTTGCAATTTTTCCCAAGTATTTTGTCTTTAAAAAAAAATTAAAAGGAGCATTGATGTAAGTTTAAAATTTTTATTTTTACGAAAATGACTAAAAGAGAAATTATGTCATTAAGACACTGAAAAATTTGAGGTTTACTATTTTGTACAATTTTAAATATTTATCTTGTACATATGGTCACTTCAATTTATTTTGTTTTGAATAAATGAGACCTGAAGTTTTTGAATGTAAAAGTGTTTGAAATCATTTTATTTTTAGTCTCAGAAACTTAGTTATCAAAGTAGAAGAGATATTTCGATACTATACATATGTATATATGAAAAAATAATTACATATAGTTAAAATGTTTTATAACTTTTCTGTTTAAGTTTTTTCTGTAGTTGTGATATTAGACTTTTTGGGTTTTGCATAGTAATTAAGTCTTAATTTTTCCCTTTTCTTACTGACTACCTTAGGGTTTAGAAAGTTACCTCAGATTTAGAAAGATTGATGCTTTCTCTAGTTATAGGAAAACTTTGGGAAACCACTGGTTAACCACACTGTTTATTCAGGCTAAGTGGAAATCCTTATGTATAGAATATTCTCCCCTTGAATGTTAATACTAAGTAAGCCAGGGTTTTAAAGCTCCACTTTTTTTTTACTGTTAAGAAAGTTTTAGTTGGAAATAACTAATTCTGAAGTATTTATCACTTACAACTGGTACTGAAAGCTACCTGAAAATACTTAGACTAACAGGGGTGTATGTGGTTAAATACCAATCCCATGGTTTAAGTACCAGTGTGATTGGTACAGTGAATCCATTTTCACTTTCTGCTCTCCTTTCTTTTACCCTTCGACTTGAAAGGGCTCTTCCACTGCAGTTTATTTAGGTAAACTTTAATGACTAAAAAAGTTTATTATAGGAGATCCTAAAATATATATATGTGTATGATTGATATTTCTTTGACACTATTTATTTTAGACTAGCACTTCTTTTTTGAAGACTGCCCTCCTTTCTCCATACTAACTTAGAGATGAAATATAAACCATTCATAAATTCAAGTGGTCGACTGGCAATAGTTATTGAACTCTTGTTTCTCATCTCTTCTAGTCATAGTGATTGCAACAGAAATAGAGACATAAATCAGCCTCTTCCCAGAATTATTGTGTGAAATTAAGGTATGATTAAGGTAGGACGGATAAGGCCAGAAAAATGTTGGCAACCATAATTAACTGAGCTCAGTAGGAAAGAATAATGCTGGCATGGGTATTGGCAAATGGCAATTTTTGGGGCCCTGAAAACTAGTGATAATCCTGGAAGTCTTGGAATATGGTTACATAGACCATTATATTTGTCTTTAGCTTCTACTGTGTTGGCATTGGCTTTTGTCATTTGCAGAAATAGTTCAGAGGAGCTTACCTACCTAGTAATCAGTCCTATCTCTTCGAATGAGCTAACTAGCTATCAGGTATCCCCATGATGTGTGAGAGAAAGATGAGTTGATTCCATTCAAACTTAACTAGTTTACTCTATGAATATGCATACCATATTTCTTCTGTACCAATGTCAAGATAACTGACAGTGGTGTTAACAGAGGTCTGTTGTGTTGCTGAATATTCCACAATGTACAGGCTTGGTACATGTACTGGTCACTTTCTGTTGCTTGAATATAATTTGAAGTTTAGTTGAGGAAAGCTGCTCAGCTCTTGGCATCCAGAAAGCTCAGAGTAGAGGAAAAAGCCCTAGACAGTGCCTAGGCCAAGATGTGGGCCCCATTTACCCACTTCTACCTAGACTTCACTTCCTGAGGGTCCATCCCACTATGAACAAATTGGTGGGTTAACACATTGATGAGATTAGTGCCCTCACAATCCAATTAGTTTTTTAGGAGTCTCAGTCCAGTCAACTTGACAATCAGTGGTTATAGGACTACCTAGAATTCTGAGACAGTATTATCCAAAAAGGCCCAATTGAGCTATTTCTCAACAAGAATTATGAAAAGACCAGTCTCTGTACCGTGTACCTCTACCAGACAAGGTCTGCTAGAAACACTGGGCTTCAGTATTATGAAGTTTCCCACATGATAGTGCTTCTGGCTGGGGAACTTCATTCCCCCTAAAAGCACAAATATCTGTTCGAAAAGGTACCATAATAAAGTTACCCTTTGACTTGAGAGGGCTCTTCCACTGCAATTTATTTAGGTAAACTTTAGGCAAAAATACACTGACTGATTTGGAAATTGAGACTACATTTAGCCATTTAAAATTCCTTATGCAACTGGAGAAACAGAATTGTAGAGTAATAAATAATCCACCAAGGAGGAATTACTGTTATACAATGGCAGCTGGAAGAAATATGGATTAGCCCTAAAGGCTGAAAATTTCCTAGTTGTTATACTCTCATTAAGTTTCAGTTAGTAGAATATTACAACTTCACCTGTCTCAGAAATGAGAATTTGGTCATCCTACCAGATAAAAAATCTCTGCCTTAGTCAGAATCCTGCTATAAGTCAAGGAAACATAGACTAGATGTTAGCTGAAATAAATCAAACCCTGTCCTGAAGTTAAAAAAGTGAGTTGCAAAAACAAAAGTTACTAAGCACCTGCATAGGCAAGCACAGTGACTGAGGTTCAATCTCTAGCACTACATGCTGCACTGGACCTGCCATGGGGCTCTCTGAGCCAGCCACTGAGACCAGGCGTGGTGGTATACGCCTGTAATCCCAGCGCTGGGGAGGATGAAAATAGGATCACTACAAGTCCAAGCTGTGTAATGAGACCCTGTACAAAATACATAAAAAGTCGTTCCATATTTTTTTCTTTTATGTAATGTGGATATCTAAATTCTAAATTTGTTTCCTCAGTTTTTCCCATTACTGTATATGTCATTTTTTTTTTTTTTTTTTTTTTTTTTACCCCCTTCAGTATCAGGGATCAAACTCAAGATATTGCACTTACCAAGCAGGTGCTTATGCCACTGAGTTATCTCTCCAGCTCTGTACATGAGATTTTTGATATTGGCTAACTCTGGGATGTCACACTTAGGTTACAAAATAATGTGATAGGGTTACCACAGACCTGAGGGGAAATAAGCATTCTTTAAGATCCTGCACATGGCAGTGAATGTGACTTGACTGTCTGCCTGTGGAAGAGGTGTGCATTTTTAACTGAACAAGAACTGATTACACTTTGAGGTGTAGCATAGTTTTTTCGAAGAAGTGTTGAATGAGTGCACGGTGGACAGGAAAATAATGCACTCTAGTGGGTATTTTGTGTCCTAATTTTCAACCTTAAAACCCGTTTCTATTTTGGGAGAATTTTTTGTTGTATGAGTTTGTGGAAGAGAAATTTTTACAATACATTTGAATGAACTAAGACATTAAGTATTTTCTCAAATTTTAAAATACATTAATACATAAAAATTTTTACTTACTAAGTACCATGTTATGGTTCAGTTCACATATACTTTGTATAATGCTTAAATCAGGTTATACATATTCTCAAACTTTTTTTTTTTTTTTTTTTTTCAGAACCGGGG